TTATATGTGTGTGTGTGTGTGTGTGTGTGTGTGTGTGTGTGTTACATCTTTTGTAATTTTCTAAAACATTTAGTTGTAGGGGAGAAATAAATTCACTAAGGTTTGGTTTTGTTTGTTTAACTTCACTTTGTCAGGTCAAGCAAATCAGCACATAATAAGGTCTCAGGTTTATATTTTATATAATTTCTGTCACTGTTTAATCAGCTTTAACTCATTTGAACATCACTTTTGTTTCGATTAAATAAAACTTACAAAAAATCTGAATCTAATTTTTAATTGACATTTTATTTGAGACAAAAACATAAAAGTTATGAATATATTTATAAAACAGGAGATATTTTAAATCACTGTTTTTCATACATGGCAGTGTTTTAGAGTGCTTTATGATTTTTTTCAAGTTAAATTATGAAGCACTTTTACAAACAAAGGGCTTAAAGCAGAGAAGACCATACCAGCAAGTAATATGTATTTGATTAAACGACTGTGATCAGAATGATCTGAAAGAACAAAACATGATATTTTACTGAAGAAACGTCAAAGAAGAATTTTGGATTTGTAAAAGTTGTAAATAATTAAAAAAAACAATTCAGTCTTAAAACCAGCATTAACAAAATGATGGCAAAGCTAAATAAATGGAAGTAAAAGTAAAGTTAAAAGCTTCATTTGCTTTTAGAAAAAAGTAATTAACACAAAGTTAATTAAGTAATTGTACTAAACTAAACAATTTAGTCAAAATACAATAAAACTATAAAAGTTGTATTTAAAACATTAAAACTGAAAGTGAATGGAAGTTTAAATAAAATACAAGTTGCTGTTAATTCAGTCAAATAAATACAAAAGTAATTAAGACTGGGCTAAACTAAATGATTTACAAATATAAATGAAATTAGGAGTCAAACTCTAGGTTTGATCAAACAGTTAGCTAAATTTGTTAGAAATAAAAAATAAAAAAAAAATCTAAGAAAATGACGTTAAATGACTTGAAGGATCTGGATCCAGATTAAAG